AATGATTTGATGCGAAGACAACGTCAGTTTCATCTTTCCAAAATTCTCTATCATAGTAAACAATAGCTGAAATACGCCTCATTTTAAGAGTTTGAGAGTTTGAAAGATTGAAAGTCTTATATCTGCAAAAACAATAGCAGAAATACACCTAATTAAATAAAAAAAATATACTAATTAAAATATAAACTAATGCTAAAAAAATATAAAAATTCACAATAATTTAAATAACATAATTTAATATTGTTACCGTATCGGCAAAATATCTCTAGATATGATCCCGCGTTCCATTTTACAACCGCAAAAATTAATACAAAATAATTAGTAAAATAAACTTTGGTCAAATAATTAAATATAAAATAAATATAAAAAAATAAAAAAATTTACCTTCTAAAAACTATAACAAAATCTACTTAACTTGATAGAAGGAATGATGCGAAAGTAATTTTGGTGTGATTTGATGTTTGCATTCGGGGGTATTTATAGGGTAGGGGATGAGTGAATAACTGAAAGAGTTAAGGCTTAAGTGATAATAGAGTGCACAATAATTCAAAGTGAATAATGGAAGACGCACCTCATGATCTGTGCCTTCTCTGTACGTGTCAGATTTCCAAGCGAAGACACGCTTTATGATTCGTGCTTTTTCACCTTGGTGTTACCTCTGACAAAATTATATGAAGACGTGCCTCATAATCTGTGTTTTGTCAAAAAAAAAATATCTAACAAATAATATTTCGTTGTTAGGGTGTTATTGAGGGAAAATTGCCGAATTGTAGTAGGCATTTAAGTTGTCGGGTAAGGTGCAAGGAAACCTGGAAAATGGTTATGAGTAGTTTCTTTCAATTGCCGTCTAATAAATGCACACAACAATCTGATTTACCAAACTTCTTATCACACAGTCAAAAAGTTTCTCACCTCCAGGCTTTTCAATTTCAATAGCAGTCCAATTCTTCAAAAAATAAAATTAAATAATCATAGAATAGTGTTTGATGATGAATCCAACCTTGTGATAATAAACGTTCGTAATCTGATACTTATACGATGCTCGAATTTTGAAAGATGGCATTAATTCCTTAATCATTTAAATAACGTAGTTTGTGCTTCAAAATCCTAGTTTTCAAATGTCATGAGAAGCGAGACTTAGATAAAGTCGGAATCACTCCATAAATTACCGAATTATTAATACTATTTATTAAAATTTTAACCGAGTTTCATATTAAATAGTAATTTACAATTGTTTGAAGTATTAGGATATTCTTATTTATAAATTATTTATAACTTATGATAAATGTTTTTGTAAAAACAAACTGTCCTCTTAAATTTTCATGAACCTTTTGTAAAAAATATATATATAGAATGTAAATTGACATTAATATATTTGTAAAAATATACAAATTAAAATATAAAAAAATCTACATTACAATTAAATAAATAATATTTGAAGTTTAATTTTTTTTATTTCATAATAAAACCACGTGCATTAAAGGGAAATAAACTGTCACCATTTCAAAAGTGTTTATGGCCACATTTTTTTCACAGTGCACTAAATAATAATTCATTCAAAGGTTAGAGAAATAATAATTTTCAATGATTGCAGTTAAAGTGGTAAAAAGGCCGTGTTTAAAAGAATATTTTTAATATTCTTTTCACAGTGCACTAAATAATAATTCATTCAAAGTTTATAGAAACAATTGTACATCATCAGTAATCATCATATTTAAATTGCAGGAGATTAAAACATAGGCACATTCCGAACACCCACCAAAAAAAGAAATGACTTATTGCGTTCACTCCAGAAACTATTCAAGTGAGTGATTGATCACCATTGTTACCACCGCCGGATAAAATTCACCGACCGTAAATAGCCTAGTCAATATGAGGAGGAATTTGCTTAATTTCAGTCCCAAGCTCTTGTTCAATCCTATACCTATTAGAAAACTATCACGTAACACTGCAATGAATAAGAATGTGGCGTTGTCCAAGATGACCAAACCTTCCCGATCGACCAACCTACTCAGAAAGGGGTTAGCAAATAAAAAATTCGATGAACGTTGCAACTTGCGATATCTATAACAAGGTTCACAGCTTGGATATCTATACCCCTTGTGAAATGATCTGCGGCAAGTAGAAATAAGTCCGTTACGAAATTATTCTTCATTCGATGGCTACAGTAGAAAATTTATGCGGACACATACCTGTACAAACAAGGTTCCTGCAAGCACCATTGCGAAAATCATGAAATACTCTATTTCGATGGTCCTGGAGCATCTTTGCATGGATATAAAAGCACGAGTACCCAAGATCTGTAATTTTCTTGGCCAACAGTTCCACCCGATTCACCGAGTTACAGAAAATGATTGATTGGTTTATTTGCAGCTGAAGATATATAAATATTTCAAACAATGGAAAGAAGAGAAAACTGGATAAAAATTTATGTAAGGTCGGTCAAACCTTAGGGAAGAGTGTGTTTAGGCAGTGGATTTTCTGTCTTTCTTCCACAAAAGCATAATACTGTGTAATACCCTTCAGGGTCAGCTCATCCATAAGATTTATAATATAAGGTGATTTTAGGTATCTGTCTTTGAAGTCCTTAACAGTAACGGGAAATGTAGCAGAAAACATCAAAATTTGACGATCTGGGGGAAGAAATTGTATCAGCTGCTCTATAGAAGGTTGGAACTCCGGAGACAAATTTTATCTACCTGAAAGAAATGAAAAACACAAATATATTGTTTTCTTTTGTAAGACACTTGTAAGAATTATTACACGCAATACCCTTTTTAACAACATACGGAGAGAAACTACCAAATAATTACCTCATCCATGAAAGCATTGAACAATTTTTCAAAATGCAAACGCCCTTTTTAGTAAGGTCTAGAATTATTCCAGGGGTTCCAACCAGTAAATGGACTGGCCGATATAATCACATAATATCATCCTTGAGACTGGTACCTCCTGTTGTGACCATGACTTGAATTTGTAAATGCTTCCCGAGCCCCTTGCAAACTTGCGATGTCTGACGAGCAAGTTCCCGTGCTGGAACAAGTATAACAACTATGCAAATAAAACACATTCGGTTCAAACAAGAAAACGAGCAGATAATTAGTGTAAAATCATAAACCAAGTTAGGCACTGATAACTTCTTTAGCGAAAGCAAAATCATGAAATAAACACAGTGAGATGTAAAATTGACTCGTATCACAAACTAAGAGAGATGAGAAAATTTATTATTGCACTGATGAAAAAATGGCACTAGGACTAATCAATATTGGATTGACAAGAATCAAGCAAGTAGAAGAGCAATAGACAATTGAAATAGAAAAGGCATCCTACTTGCAGTACCCACTACCATTTAGCTATGCCTATAGTTGATGATAAAGAAGCACACAATTTTCTAAAAAACAAAAATTCGTGGATTATATCTAACCTTGAATAACATTGTTATCTTAGTCAATTTTTTCCAATGCAGGAATGCAAAATGCTAGTCTTCCAGTTCATTTTTGGCTCTAGCAAGAATATCACTTCCAGATAAAGCAATGGGAATACTCTCTTCCTGAATAGGAGATGGTCTTTCAAAACCCTTCTCGTATCCCATTAGAAGTTCACGTTTCAAAATAGTCTATTATCTCTCCTTTCCTTTTACCAGAAGCAGTAGCGGATTCATTAAACAAGTGTATGGCAAACTTTATTTGGGGAGCTGCGAAAAAGAGGTCAATTCATTGGGTGAAATGGGATACTATTACCAAACCTAAAGCCTTAGGAGGACTGGGTATTTGTGATGTAAGAATAAAGAATCGCGCTCTTCTAAATAAATGGTTATGGAGATACGGTGATGAGTCTTCTTGTCTGTGGAGAAATGTGATCGATGCAAAATATGATTTTGATTCAAATCTGATGATGCGGAGACCTATCCGAAAACACAAGTTATCGTAGATATGGAGAAATATATCCGCCCCTGTTAAAAAGAGACGATACCTTTTCTAGCAAATTATATTGCGTGGTGGGTGATGGCAGTAGAGTCGATTTTTGGGAGGATGATTGGACTGAGTTCCCTCCCTGAGATTAGCGTTTCCAAGAATTTTTGGAGTTGTCATTAAGAAGAGTGGTAAAGTTAAGGAGTTTGGTTCGATAAGAAATGGTGCGTGGTCTTGGAACATTGATCTTAGAAGACCCCTTTTCGAATGAGAAATGACTCATGGATAATTTTATGAATGTTCTAAACTGTGCTGTGGAGGGTGAGAATGGACAGGATCATCTAAATTGGTCAGGGGCGGCTAGTGGTTCCTACTCATCCAAAGAGTTCTGTCTGGTCGTAGCAAGTGAAGGTGCAACCATGGATCCGATTTGTAAGTTAGTATGGTCGAATCTTGCTCCATATAAAATAGAAGCCTTTTTTTGGAAGGTAATCCAACAACGAATTCCGACTCTGCAGGAACTATCGAAACGAGGGGTACAGGTTTCAAATTACATTTTTTGTGCCTACTGCTCTAGTGAAGTTGAATCCATCAATCATTTGTTCTGTCATTGTTTGATTGTTTGGAGGGTGTGGCAGCGTTGGTGCAGACTGTGGAAGATTAATCGAGTTTCCCCCGGATCCGTTAAATCCCTAATGTTATGCAGGCATCTGCAGTCGCTTAAAACGGAGGTAAAGCCAATTTGGATTATGAGTTTTTTTGGATTTCTCTGGTCTATTTGATTGAACAGGAACGATATTATATTTAATAACTGTGCGATGGATGAGGAGAAGTTATTTGATGCTGCGATCTTGTTGACTGGAAGTTGGCTAAATCTAAAATGGCCGATTCTTTTTCCCTCTGTCTATATCGATGATATAGTGCTTGCAGGCTTTACTTCAAGACACTCACTGATGTAAAATTATTTCTTCGATAACACTTCGACAACTACATCGAAAATGTAAACCATGGTTAACAAGCATAGAGAAACAATGAAAAGAACAACATTTCATGGTTACAAGTACAATGTCTAGAGCTGAAGCAAACCTGATTTCCCAAGTTGCTCAGATATTTTAGTGAGGTCAGATCCACCCACTACTCCAACAGTAACAACCTACAATTGCAAATAAAACATGATAAATTCCCTTCCAAAATTGTCATTTTTTTCTTTCTAAAATTACAAAATTTACCTTCTTCAGTTCCTTCATGAACTCTAACATCTTGGGAGTAGCCACCTATTTACCATTCCAAATCAATGATACACTCAACGGTGAAGAAAATACAATGCCAAGATCTCCACTTAAATTCAAAAACCCAAAAATCATATCACCAAAATTTAAGGGATTAAGGAGGAGATTAAGTACCTTTCTTGGAGCTGTAAGAGTTCCATCAACATCAAATAAAGCAATCAAACCAGGTTTTCTGACAGCCATTGAAGTTTATTAATTTTCCTCCTGCCAGCAAAATTACAAAGCTTTAAAATTGAAAAACATAAAAGCCACACTCTTATGATAAGAAATGGAAATTTAGAACCAGAGAAAAGGTGGGGATTAACTGAAATTTTCTGACTTGGATTTTTTTGACGGGATATCGGAAATCTCTTTTTAATATCGAATCTCATGTTTAAGTTAAAGTGTGAATCTTAAAAGCAAAGAGATCGATTTCAAATCTTGTGTTTGTATCTGTTATTTTTAAGATCATATAGCCATGAAGAAAAAAAGATGAAACCAGAAATGGAAGACGGAGATTTGTGGGGGGATGAATACAAGGAGAAAGATTATCTCCAATGAATTGCCTGTAAAATCAAAGGTGTTCTGTTCTGTTCCCGGGAGCAATTATCTAACAACGAGGGTGCTGAATATATTGTATTGTCATATCCCACATCTTTAGAATATAAAGAAACGAGGCCAGAAGGTGCATTTAAAAGAAGCCGGGTTAGACTGGAGAACTCATACCTTTCTCGGCCTTTTGGCTAAGATCAATTGTAGTATCTGTTCTTATCAGTTTAATATCTGATACGTGGGCCAATGGCTCACACGATATTAAATTTATTTTTTGAGGGGGAGGGCCCATCACAGTTTCTTGCAACTGGGGTTCTCGAGCGGCGCCCAAGTGTTGCACTATTGTTCGGGCCTGGTGCACCCCACCCAATTACAGTTCAAATGCTTCTATGGTTCAGGTAATACGACTACCCTTCTCTGCTTAAATGCAATTTAATATAAAAAATTTGGTTGTTCATTGGTTCATGTCACTGTTTCTATTATATAAGGCATGGACATTAGGAATCTTATTCAATGTTTGATTGAATGAGTACATTTGGGCTTTCTGCATTTTGCCATTAATATTTAGCTTTATCTCTCGGTTCCAGGTTCCAGGTTGCAGGCCCTATGAAAAGAAGTATGGCACCATACAAAAATAAATTGAAGCTTTGGACGAGATGGGCATATGCATATAATAATAGAAACGGTATACTGATAAAATCATCTATTTCTTTCAACGATATGATCTAAAAAGATGTAGACTAAACTATTCATTTATTTATTTTTATTGAAAAGATGAATAAATTATTCATTTAACGATCTGAAAAGATATAGATCGACTAAATTATACTATTTATTTATTTATTTATTTCGATTCATTGAAAAGATGTAGAATAAATTATTCATTCAATGATCTGAAAAGATGTAGACTAAACAAATTTAGTCATGAAATGGATCCTACCCCCTCTCTCTTAAGATATATGCGCAGCATTCATGATTTATCCTTTGAAAAATGATCCATTAGTCCACTAGTAGAATGGTTATTTCAGCTGAGACCAGAGGACCACTTAAGGAGATAAAAAGTGCATATTAAAGCAATATGAATATGGGCATTTCATTCAATAATTTGATGAAGAAACAGCATAACATTCTGCCAACGACAAATTGATCATTTTGGAAGGCATAGAGATAGTTTAACTTCTAACATACAAGCATGCAGAGTAAATGTCATTGAGGAAGCCAACTTGTGGATATCGGACGAGACAATACGAAGCCATAAATCATATAATCATGTAAACCGGTGAAGCATTAGGTCTATTACTATTCATTCAAGAATAATTGTCGATCTAGCAGCTACGATAAAAACTCGAACTTCTCAGCATCATCTATGGGTTATGATGAAATTGAGAGAAAATTTAATGAACATCAAAACTATGTTTCAAGACAAAATTTAACAAAAACAGTCAACTAAATGTTTGAACGATCACACAGATAGCTGATAGCCTTATTCAAAAGGGATTATCATGATTGACCTTCATATCCACTTCTATCGTTGTTTACATAAAAAATTTCAAACTTTTACCAAAATTTTAAAGCTTATGTTATACAGACTTGAGTAAGAGTATTAACCATAATCGGTAGAATTGTTATTTAGTCCCTTCAAAATGGTAAAATATTAAATAAAATATATTTAAACAAAGAACATGTTAACCATATCATGGTATTAATCACTGTCTTAGAAGCGAGTTCGTCTCGATGTGTGTAATCATTGTAATGGACGAATGGCCTCCCGAGGTTAGCATGGCTCTCCAAATTCCGTATACCCCGAAAGATGGAGTAGACTTAGTGGTATTATTCTTTTTTCAAAACTCAAAAAGATACTCCTAATAGGTTTATAAAAACCAAGAAGAGTGTTTCTAAAACAAACAATTTATTTAAGGATGATTTTTCTTGAAGTGCATATGAAATAAAAAAAAAATTAAACATCCACATCCATTTATGATTCAATATAGGACTAAATGGTAAAATATCAAATAGCAGTTACAAAATAATTAATTGTCATAAACATTATTTTAATGATCATAAAATATATATTAAATATTTTGTAACGACTATAAACGGTAAAATAAATTCTCATAAATAATATTTTACCGGGAAAGTCTTGTTTAAAAAGAAATACAGATGAATCGAATCAGACAACATCAAATGATTCATACCCATATAAATATCTTTGTATTACCAACAAACATAACTAGTTAATCAAACATTAGAATTTTTTTAAGGCTTAAGTGCTCCATTGCCCCCTGAACTACACCATTTGTACAGAATTGTCCCTTAAAGTATTTTCCAGGATGTTTTGCCCCCTAAACTTTAAATCGTTATCTCGTTTGCCCTAAATTATTAACTATGTTAAAAACATTATGGGTAAATTACATATTTAGTCACTCAACTATTCTCACGATCCTATTTTAGTTGCCCAACTATTTTATTTTTTAAAATCATCACTAAAATGAAGTTTTTATTCTATTTTGGCAATCAAATTCAATTCTAATTTATTTTTAAAAATTTTAAGATACAAGAATTTATTAAAGAAAACATAATATTTGATCTTGACACGTTTAAACACTATAAATTAATGAAAGACATACTTAAAAACGGCTAATCTAAACCGATACCAGGTTTACCATGCTTAACCGGCTTGTACGAAATGGAAAACTCCGCAAGGTAATGGCTAATCATTTCAGGCTTAATTTCAACCTGGTTAAATGTCTTTTCATTGTGCACAACAGTTATGCTTCCAATCATTTCAGGTATAATAATTATGTTCCTCATGTGGGTTCTCACTGGTTCTAGTTTCTCACCTGCTGGGGCCTCCCTTTTCACCTTCTGGAGTTTCTTAATTAAAGCCATCGGTTTTCTCTTGAGACCCCTTTGGAATCTTCTTAAACGCCTCTGAAGCTAAATTTCTTGAACGTTCTCTTCTTAGGTTAATGAGTTAATTATCTTCGTCTATATCGATGATATGGTGCTTGCAGGCTTTACTTGAAGACACTCACTGCTGTAAAATTATTTCTTCGATAACACTTCAAGCTAAGAGACCTTGGAGATTTACGTTATTTTTTAGTTGAATGGATTCATTTAAACACATCATAAAAAGAAGCTTTTGTTTCAAGCCAATGGAACTTGCTTATTTAAGCAACATACAGATTCAAATAAAAACAAAAACAAGCAATCTGCAAATGAATGAACAAAGAGGAAAACCCAAAGGGCATTTATTTCATGTAAAAGTTGAAGAATTCTGGGGAAAATTCTAGCCTGTCTTCCTCAAGATTTTTGGACACTTTGACGCTGCTTCCATGGCGGAGGTATCATCAATGGCGGCACCTTTCAAAAGGCCTGCAAGCAGTTCTTGTTGAAAATACCCTAGCTCATTTAGCTTCAAAATCATCCCAAAGCATTATAGATTTCTTTCAATACTAGAGAGAATTTAGAGAGTTTCTTGAGAGTTGTTTTCTCATTTTTATCAAGAGAGAATTATCATTGTTTTCTCCTTGGTAGATCGAGAGAAGTTGTAATTCTTATTTTCTTATAGTGAAATTCTTCTATCGTTGTCTGTGGTTTTACCTTATATTATTTAGGAGTTTTCCACGTAAATTTTGTGTCTCTTTTATCTTCATTTTTATTTTCTCAAATTATCAATTGCGATTTTGCTCTATCCGATAGCCGTCTTCCGCAACAATTGGTATCCGAGCCAGATTTGAGTGTGTAATATCTGCTTATTGTCTTTGTGGTTGCCACCAAAAGATGGATCCTCCAACATAAGAAAGTAAGAAGTTATTACCCATTCTTTGAAAGTTCCAAAAGAACTATTCACGATAGTGAAATAGTGGGAGCTATCCGTAAAAGAAACTATGACAACGAAATTTGATATTGAAAAATTCAATGGGAGAGAAATTTCTCATTGTGGAAATTGAAGATGAAGGCCATCCTGAGGAAAGACGATTGTCTAGCAGCTATCAGTGAAAGGCCGGTGGATTTCACAGATGACAACAAATGGATCGAAATGGACGGGAATGCTATGGCAAACTTTCATCTAGCATTAGCAGATGAAGTATTGTCAAGCATCGAGGAGAAGAAGACAGCTAAGGAGATATGTGATCATCTCACCAAATTGTACGAGGCCACATCGCTGCACAATAAAATTTTTCTTAAGAGAAAATTGTACACTCTCCGTATGCTAGAATCTACTTCAGTGACGGAACACTTAAATACACTGAACACTTTATTTTCTCAGCTTACATCCTTAAGCTGTAAAATAGAAGAACAAGAACGTGCTGAACTTCTACTTCAAAGTCTACCGGATTCGTATGATCAACTCATCATCAACTTGACAAACAGTAATGTCACCAGTCTAGTCTTCGATGACGTTATAGCTGCTATTCTACAATAAAAAAATCGGCACAAGAACAAGGAATGTAGACAAGTAAATCTGCAACAAGCAGAAGCGTTGACAACGATGAGAGGGAGATCAACATAACGTGGCCAAAGCAGCAGTCACAAACATGGTAGATCATAGTCGAGAAGCAAGAAGAATTTAAAGTGCTACAACTGTGGAAAGAAGGGTCACTTGAAGAATGATTGTTGTAGTATAAATAAAAACTCCAATCCACAAGGCAATACTGCAAACACTTCAGATGATGGAGATGCTCTATGCTGTGAAGTTTCAACCACCGTGGAAGGTAGAAAGAGATATGCAGACATATGGCTCATTGATTCGGGAGCAACATATCACATGACCTCAAGAAGAGAATGGTTCCATCATTATGAACCTGTCTCAGGAGGATCTGTGTATAGTTGCAATGATCATGCCTTAGAGATCATTGGCGTGAGAACCATCAAATTGAAGATGTATGATGGAACAATTAAAGTTGTTCGAGATGTGCGGCACGTGAAAGGCCTGAAGAAAAATTTATTATCCTACAGATTGTTGGATAATAATGAAAGTAAGATTGAAACACTGAAATGAATCATGAAGGTGTTATGTGGAGCGCTTGTGGTGCTGAAAGGTGAAAAGATAGCATCAAACTTGTACATGCTGAAGGGAGAGACTTTGATAGAAGCAGAAGCCTCTGTTGCCTCATGTAGTTCAGATTCTGCAATGCTATGGCATCAGAAACTTGGACACCTGTCAGAACAAGGAATGAAAGTCATTGTGGAGCAAAAGCTACTTCCAGGCTTAACAAATGTATCACTTCCTTTGTGTGAGCATTGCATAACAAGTAAGCAGCACCGGTTGAAATTCAACACATCAAATTCTAGAGGCAAAAGTGTTCTAGAATTGGTTCACTCTGACGTATGGCAAGCACCAGTTACATCCCTAGGCGGAGCAAAATACTTTGTCTCATTTATTGATGACTACTCCAGGAGATGTTGGGTGTATCCTATTAAGAAGAAGTCAGATGTGTTTTCCACTTTCAAAAACTTCAAAGCGCGGGTGAAACTTGATTCTGGAAATAAGATCAAGTGTTTCAGAACAGATAATGGAGGAGAATACACAAGCGAAGAATTTGATGACTTTTGCAGGAAAGAAGGCATCAAAAGACAGTTCACAGTGGCGAACACTCCTCAACAAAATGGAGTGGCAGAGCGGATGAACAGAACATTGTTAGAAAGAACAAGAGCAATGTTGAGGGATGCATGCCTAGAAAAATCATTCTGGGCAGAAGCAGTCAATACCACCTGTTATTTGGTGAATCGAGCTCCATCAACTGCAATAGAGCTGAAGACACCAATGGAGATATGGACTGGTAAACCAGA